AAAATATATTAAAGCTTTACCGTCACTAGGATCAGTAGTTCCACCAACTACATTACTGAAACTAAAGATCACCGCAGAAATCACCACAAGCGCAGTGAACAACGGAGTACACCTGACTGTGACTTTTCTCTCCATATCCGAAATGCCGAATGACAACAGTTAGTCCAGTGCAAATATGAGGATCAAACTAACTGAGAATTGTGAAAAGGCAGCGTCTGAATGAAGAAGAAGAGGAGGAGGAGCTGTGATCGGCTGCAGTAGGCGGCGCCATTGTTAAAAAGGACTCTCAGATTCGAAGCTTTAGTGTTATTAAGAGAGAGAAACAAAAACCAGAAATAAACAAATACAATAATGAATAAAATACGTCGGCAAATATGGGGGAAACTATAAACGAAATTAATTACTGATTTTTTTAGTGATAATTGCACAATAAGTCTCCAACCTATTGTCTCTGTAACAAGTTTATCCTCAACCTTTAAGAAAGAGCAAGTTCATCAGAGCATTACATCATAAAGGCACAATTACCTTTCAGTCTCGAAAATCGTCCAAGTCTTAAACTTATCTTTATAAAATTGGGTTACGTGAAGACCCACACAACAATTTAACAAAATTTCAAACAACTTTCATCCTCGAGAATTCATTGTGCAATTAAATTAACTGATTGATGAATTACTTCATATGATGTTACAAGTTGTTTAAACTAAACAATATGTGACATTCTTTTAGTAAATATTTTGGTAATTATCGTTTTTGAAATTAATTACTATAATGAAATGTTGAATGGTTGATGATAATTAAGGTAATAGATTGGACACCAATGTTGCAACCATTCCGTGTTAAAATAGTGAAAGTGATGTCTCTTGTCAAAGATTTTGACAGTTTCTGTATATTTGATTATACAACTTTGGGTAAAAATTGACGACTGACGTGTTATTAAGAAAATAGATTAGATGCCAATGTTGCAATTTCGCCATGTTGAAATTATTCAAGCAAATTTTTTGGTTGAAAATAGGCAAGCAAAGTATGCTCCGTCACAAAATTTTCCGGTGTCCTTTTCTGAATTTTTCCACAATTATTTACCCTTTGTCAAGTGAGGTAATTACGAAATTGCCATGGTAGTAATGCGTATGAATGCTACGCCACCGACGTCGGTTGGATTCGTGAAAATGACTAAGCTGTCCTTATTTGTGATAGTGAAATTGACCCACTTCGTGTTTCTCCTTTTGACTTTGCATTTGTTTCACATGAAACTTTTTGGGGGGTCGTTTAGTCAAATGACCAAAAAGGGCAAATAGTATTAATTTATAAAAATGATAATTATATTAACAGCTTAATTTTCAGTAGTTGTAACATTTTAAAATTACATTGAAGCCTTCTATCTTTGTTCATTATGGTACCTATATTTTTAACTTTTTTCGTTGTATTTTTATTTTCAATCTTTCATTAATTAGCAAATCACGTCTCTAATAATGAATTCCATCAAAAAATTCTTGAGAAGACTTAAACCGACTTATTTATCTATCCTATAATAACATGTAAAAAAATATATCAAAATATTATTTTTCCTCACTTCAAAACACGCATACAAAAACCATGCTCGACATGATCATACTTGTAAAAGGTAACAATGCTCAACACAAATCATTGACCAATATTATAAGATAAGTATCTTTATACAAAGAAGCTTCATACAGTTAACAATAATTTATATAAATTGATGGAGCATCAAGGAGACAAAAGGGAAGAAGTTGACTTGAGAATAAAGGCAGCATCTCAAATTTCCATTATACAAAAATATAAAGCAATTATGCTTAGATTCCTTTGGTCAAAATAAAATTTGTTTTTCCATCCATGAAAGCTATTATTTGGTCTTCATTTAAAAAGAATTTATAAATATTTTGATTTAAAATAGAAATGATGGATAAGTGAATAATAACATAAGCAAAATGTAAAAATGATTTGCACTATGAAATTTTCCCTCCCTTGTTATAAATAGCAAGACACCTTGAAAGCCGGTAAATTCATCTTGCATTAATATCTTTGATAAGAATTTAGTCAAATTTATAGCATAAGAAACAATACACATGGACATTGTTTTATGTTCTTATAAGGTAAGATTTTAGCTTCGTTCTTAGGATTAAGTTATATAGTTACAGGGGCGGAGGTCCAAATGACCCCCACAAAATTTTGGATATTTTTTTTTTACAAAAAAGAAGTTGTTTTAACCCATTTTGACCTACTATAATACATATCAAATGAAGTCGAAATATTGTATTCTTAATTTCGAAGTGCTCATGGCCTAATTTTTTTGCTTTTTAATGGCGTGCCAAATGATCAACTATATGAAAAGTTACGACGTATTAAAGTAGGTCGTTTCAAATTAATATTTCAAAAATTTCGATAATATGCTAACTTTTAAAATTTGCCAACAATCGTATACCATTCGAATTTACAAATTGCCTGCATCATCTAGAAGCTCGTTTCGAGAACTATATCATAGTCATATCTAATGGTTCAAACAAATATTGAAATTAGTTAAACATATGTCAAACGTACGTACTAAAAGATACGTTTAACTCGTCTTTCTTTTAAAAAAAATCAATTATTTCATTAACGTTTATTATTTTTGCACGATGAATTTTCCAATATAATTACATCATTTTATTAGGAAATTTTACATGAAAAATGACATTAAAAATTCTAAAATCTTTGAGGATTAAATGTAATTTGAATTACTTTTAAATTATTTTTTCATTAAACTTAAATTTCATTTACTTCCTAAATTCAATCTGAATTTTATCTCAATTCATTTACTTCCTACACTCAATTTGATTTACTTGTCGTTAGCTCAACATCCATAAATGACATGATAAACAAAACTATATATTTGACAAAACTCATTTAACAATATTGATAATGATATAATTATAAAATATTTTCAAAGTTTCAAAAATGTGTATTAACTTATTTTCATTAATATTATATTATTTAAAAAAATTACATATTAATTTTTGACCCCACAACCCAAGAAGGCTGGGTCCACCCCTGTATAGTTAAGACTTTTGTGTACCAATTTTAATAGGGGCATGACATTGAATCACATTCTCATCGTTCTTGACTTGAATCAATCTTATCTGATAGCTTAATTTCAATACCACAACTCTTATTCTCTCGAAGGAATTCTTCATTCTTGTTGATTTGTAGCCATACTTCACAAAGAGTAGTCACATTAATCTCCTTGTCTACTGTCTAGTTACTTGAATGGATATAGAGACACAAGGCAAAAGAAGATGAGAAGAACATACTCGTGGAATACAAGTCACCAGATGTAAAAAGTAGTTAATTATAAAGAGAGAGGGGCCCGGGCGGGCAGGTCTAACTTTCCATCATTTGTCATTCATTGTTCCATTATTGTTTTCTAGTGGTGCCCATAATCCCAGACTTGCCTCCTATATTTTATCTAATATTTGGGTGTATTAGGCTGTCTATATCGGAAAGGTTTAAACCAACGAACAATGTAAAATCACATCTCTTGATCGAGTTAATGTTGAAGCATTCAGCCATTCTCATAGGATGGAAGAACGTCATTCGTTACTCTATATAGAATTAGATCAAGAACACGAAATTTTGCTGTCGCACAAAAGGTTGGAACCTCTCTATATATTTAAATCGATATTCCTTCAATTATTAATAAAATATAAAAAGACACTAATTGAATAATTTTAAATAAATTTAATTATGCATCCATGTTATGGTAGTTCAACAATACGATTTTAAAAATTAAAGTACTAGAATTTTTTATATGCTGGGGAAAAACCGCAAGATACTGATTGTTGACAATTGGTCCACCTGTTATTGTTAAAATTGGTAAAATGCTATAGAAAATTTGTTTGTGATACAGTTAGTTGACTAATTGATCTATAGTATACAATAGGTTGATAACAAAATCATTAATTAAAATTTTTTAAGTATGTCAATAATTACAAGATCGTTTGACATGATTTTTATTTTTTATGGATGAGCTTCTTGAGGAAGTTGTATTAGATCAATTTTTTCTAAAAGTTCTTCAAGCGGACAAATGCTTCTACAAAATTATCCAAATAAATTCTAAAGCAATTTCAAAATCTCAAAAGAAGCTTTTGATTTTTCAAAAATCTTATCAAACGAGTCCTATATTTTTACAGTTAACTTAGAAATAAATCTATGAAAATACCTTAGTAAGGTAATTCGAAGATATTACGTTACTAAAAGAATTAAAAAGTATTGTTTATAATACTGTCAAGTTAAATGTTCCACAACCCAACTTCCCATAAGTGATGGGCTTCTCCTAAAATTTTATTCCTTTCTTTTAGGCAAATAAGGAGTAGAAGTAGAATGCAAAGTATTCAGGCTAATGTCAGAAGCAGGGGCGAATCCAGGATCGAAGTTCAGCTAGGGTGGAGGTTGACTGTTGACCGTTGACTGTCGACGATCAACAATCGTAATAGTCCGATCGTTTATTAAAATTTGAAGACAATCAACGATCAACAATCGTTGACCGTCAACAATGACAATCAACAATCTTCTCAATTAATTTTTTTCATTTATCCTAATTTCCTAAACATGAATTTCCAAATCAATAATCATAACTCATAAAACATAAATTACATATCATAAATCACAATTCGCAAACATAATTTCTTATACATAAATTTTCAAATCAATAATCATATCTCGTTAAAACATAATTTACTAATAATAAATCACAATTCGCTAGCATAATTTTGTAAACATAAATTCCCCGAAACGTAAATCATTCCTCATTAAAACATAAATTACTTATAATAAATCACAATTCACAAGTATAATTTCGTAAACAAAAATTCCCAAAACAATAAACATTCTTCATTAACCTTGACGTAAATTACTTATCAGTTATCATAAATCACAATTCACAAACATAACTTCGTAAACATAAATTCCCAAATCAATAATGATAACTCATAAGACAATAGGACATATAACATAAATTACTTATCATAATTCATAAATCACAATTCTCAAACACAAAATACTTGAGTTTCTTGAGGAGCAGAACATTTGTGGAACTAACTCGACCTAAATTATTGACTCCTAGAAATCGTCGAATCATGAAAGTTAAAGGACAGTAAGAAGCTAATAGCGAACCTGCAAAGTCGTACCCAAAAATTCATACCATTTTCTCAACAGATTGCTTTACTTACTATGATTGGCAAACTGTGGGGCTTGTCCACAGTTTTCACCTGAGTGGTCCACCTGAAAATATCACGAGGCTTCTTAGTTGTATAGAAGAGGACTTGAACTTGAAGCAGTATAAAGGACTCAATATAGCTCCCACCCATTATGTTCCATCAATGAGCCGGCATCCCCAAATCAATAAATCATAACATAATTAATATTATTTACTCAACATCAACAACTACAAGTCAAGTAGGCAGTAGCCAAAACAAAATAGAACAAAACCATAACAAAAAAAACAAAAAAAAAAAAGAAGAAGAAGAAGAAGAGGGAGAATTGAGAGAGAGTCACCAGCTTGAACAAAGAAGGCAGAAAGGAGAAACCTAGAAACGGCAGCGGCAGCTAGCAGTCACGGTCTCATAGACTCACTCACGGTAATCGGCTCGGCACTGCAGCGGTTTTTAGCACTTGGCTACGACGAATCCCTCCTGCTCGTGGCGTCGTCGATGCTGCCTATTCTTTGATGGAGTCTGGCTGAAAGGAGAAAGGGAGGAAAATGGTTTGACAATTGGCATTTAGGCTTCCACAATTTGGGAATTGGACAAAAGGAGAGAATTTTGGATTCTTGGCTTCACGATTGAAAATGACTGATAAATTGGACCATTTGTTTATTTCATTTGAGAATTGGGGTAAACAAAAAGAAGCCCAACTGCCCAACAATTACTCACAGTCACTTAACTGAAGCCCAAACAAAAAAAAGGGCTCTTTGCTTTCATCTTCGTCTTCTTCAGTTCTTCTCCCGACTCCGGCCGGCTCTGCAACTTCTGCAAAGGCCTGATTGGCAATTTCTACCAGGCGATTCTCAAGATTCCGGCGAAGCCAGCACGCGCGGCCGCGCCCCCTCGCCGGGTGCTGGCTCCGCGCCTGGTCAGAAGCCCACTTATTTTTGTCATTTTATGAAGTTTTGAGTGCAATTATATGGGGAAAAAAAGAAGGCTCAACACATTTGCAACCATGAGCCGGCTCAATACACCCTTTGGATTTTGAGGTTCTTGATCTTGAAATTTGAATAGGATTCTACGTTACAATTATTTAAATTCTAATTCTATTATCGTCTAGTTTAATATCATATAACGTACGCTAATTATCGATACATATAAGAAGCACAAAAATGAAGACATGGATGGAAGTGATCAATGTGTTGTTAATGTTTGTTCTTGTGCAAAATTTTAACTCATCATATTTGAATGTGGATCATGCCAAGAGTCAATCCTGAGGGTGTGCGAGTTGAGCAACCGAACAAGGCCTCAAAATTGGAGGGGCACCAAATTTTTTTTATTATAGTTGTATATTTATTTATAATTAAATATATAAAATATAAAATTTTTATTATTATGCATAAGATATTAAAATTAAGAATAATGTGACTAACTAATTATAATTTTCTTGAATATAATATTCTTAAATAGTATTCTTACCTTAAATAATGTGAGGGAAAAGGGAAAAATCCAAAAGATATCAAGCCGAGAAGTAAGAAAAACTGAACAAACGCCTTTTCCAATTGTCTTTTTGGAGAAAAGAGTTAAAGAAACTAACCGTCTTTTCCAATTGCCTCAAAGATAATTGAGGCGGAGAAGAGAGGAATCAATCTTCATTTTGGAGAAATTCTCTTTTTCTCCAATCATCTTTGATCTGGTTCTAAAAAATTCTCTATTTTCATTAAACGACGATTGACGATTTGTATTTTTCATAAAAACCCTTACTGGAAATCTAAATTACCTATTATCTTTTCTTTATTATCTTTTCGTCAATCTCATTAAGTGATTTCAGTGATTTGAATTCGTTGTGGATGATGCTAATTTGAAAGCATGTTGTGATCACCTTGATGTTGTTTTAAGACATGTAAATTTTTGCGATCTTGACGATGAAGATTTATTTCAGGAGTTATAAGTTTTGCGAAATCTTTTACCAAAAGAAATAAAGACAACTTTTGATATATTGACTTATTTGAAAAGATTGGATTGCTTTTCGAATACATGTTTTGCTTATAGAATATTATTGACAATTCTTATTATTGTTGCATCTGTTGGAAAAAGTTTTTCAATATTGAAGTTATTAAAATCTTATTTGCAATAAACCATGTTACAAGAAAGATTGAATAAATTCGTTTTGATATCTATTAAGCAAGACTTTGTAGAAAATATTGATTACGAAAGTTTAATTAGTGAGTTTGTTTCTAAAAATGCGAGAAGAAATATTTTTACATAATTTGTTGCATTTTAAGCTTTACACTTGAGATATATATATTGAAGGTTTGCTTATATTGAGTAATTTTGATGAAGTTCGATAGATGCTTTTAAGCTTTATATATATATATATATATATATTATTGAAATATTTTTTTAATATATGTTTTAGTTACTCGAAAGGTGCATCATTTTAAAATCTCGCAAAAGGCACCCAAAATCTTAGAACCTCTGAATTCATGCCTGTTACATTTTTGGCTCAACGTGATCTGAAAAAATCAATGGCTTGGATAAATTAGGTAGGATAACAGAAAAAATCTTTTTGTTCATAAATTCACGATTTTTTTTTAATTTTTAATTATAGATCTAAACCTGAAGGACAAAAATAAAAAATAAAAAAATGTTTAGTCCTGCTGAGTGTGGACCAGCCCCTGGGGTGTATGGGCTCCTCGAAACTTTGGCCTAGCTGAGTCCAGGTATTTCCTGAGCAGTTCAGCGTATGGCCTGGCATTGGTCCGGCTATTACTTATTAGTCATGTCGGACACGAGTTCAAGTCTCTTTACTCTCTTAATTATTTGAAAATATAGAAGGAAATAGAAATTAAAACTTATACTTCCTTAAATAAAACTGCATTTTCACAAATATAAATATGTAACGCCACCACCGAACTTTGTATCAAAATTATAAATAATTTAGCGGAAAAGATCGATGGAGGAGGTGGCTGTGAGATGGTAAAATTAGATATAAGAGCTGTGCAACAGCCAATGACGATAGCGTTCTGGTGGTGACGGGTGAGTGGGTCAATGTTTTGAGGATTGGTTGGTTACTAATTAGGATACAGATTAGAGCATACATAGCCCCTGTTTTGTTTTGTGGAAGTTATAGTTAACAATTAATTTTAACCCCACATTTCATAAAACTCACGATTTTTCAACAACTAATTTCATTAACTTCTATCAAAATTTACTAAAAATCTAATTTTAATCCACACCAAGTAGGAGTTATTGAATGTAAAGGTGGTACCATTTTTAACAAGTTAAACGGAGGAGTGCAAAGGTTTCCTCGGACCGAACGGAGATTGGCTATCGAGTGAAAAAGCAGAAGCAAGCTTGGCTGCAAAATCCATCCGTCGAGTCGCGACCCTTTGTTTTGACCATTTTAGCACGTGTATCGCCCATGGCGTAAGTGACATGATGAGCAATCCCATGGGTCTTCGCTTTCACGTCTCTCTAAAATGACATTATAATAAAATCTTGGTTTATTTAATTTACAGGGACTCCCAAGTACAATGGAAGTAAGGTAAGGTAAAAATAAAAAAAAAAGGAAGACTATAATCCTTAGTAGCACGATTTTTCGCTTTTAATTTGGAACCATTCTGTAATTGAAATTTCAAAGCTTGCAGAGGACTATCCTATGCAATTTCAATAAAGATCTCTCTCTCTCTCCCTCCTTCCGTTTTATTTATCTCCTCTTAAATTAATTAATCATTTTGATGTTCTTTTTTTTTATTTAAGTAATAAATCTTTTACTTATTTCCATCGTAAATTGAGATTCCCGAGTCTCTCTCTCTCTCTCTCTCTCTCTCTCTCTCTCTCTCTCTCTCTCTCTCTCTCTCT